TTATTGCATCTTGATTGTTGCCAGCTAGGAGGATGTCATCCACATAAATAAGGAGAAAGATATGAATTTGTTATTGATGAAGAATTAGGAGCGACGGATCGACAGTGCTATGAGTAAATCCAATAGAAACCAAGTACTCCGTGAATGTGTTATACCATTGACGTGGGGTTTGTTTTAGGTCGTAGATAGCCTTATGAAGATGACAGATGTAGTCCAGATGAGTTGAGTCTTCAAAGCCTTTTGGTTGAGCCATAAAAACTGTTTCAGATAGTTTTCCATAAAGAAAAACATTTATATATCTAGCTGATGAACCTGCCAATTGTTATAAAGAGCAACAACAAGCATAATTCTTATTGTTGGCAACTTGGCTACATGACTAAAGGTCTGGTCTTAGTATAATCCAAACCGAATTTTTGATGATTTCCTTGACCACCAAACGTGCTTTGTACTTGGCAACATATCAATTAGCATGGAATTTGGTTTTGTATGTCCACTTGCAGCCTAGGATGGACGATCCTTGAGGTGGCTCAACCAGACTCCATATACCTTGTTTTTGTAATGCCAAAAATTCAGTAGCCATTGTCGCACGCCATTCCAGATGTTTGATTGCTTCGGCATAGTTATGAGGAGAATCAATGGGATTGAATATAGATTGGGAATGTAAAAGATTTAGACAGACGACAGGTTTTATAGATCCCGTTTTAGTCTGAGTGATCATGAGGTGATGAGGCACGATAGAAGAGGAAGAATGCGGATGTGTAGTGGGTTGCACCACTTGATTGGGCGAAGATGACTAAGATGGAGCAGTAGATAAATGAATGGGAGGATTGGTCTTAGAGGACAGAGGTGAGATAGATATGGGAGTGAGAAAAATGGAGGAATATCCTGTGAATTTGAAATACTTTGGGAGTGAGCAGGATATATGCCAAAGGGAAAGAAGTGTTCATCAAAGGTTGTGTATCTGGATAAAATGATTTTATTTGTTGATACATCCAAACACTTGTAATCTTTGTAGGTATCTGAGTATCCAAGGAAAACACAGGATCTGTCTTTTGCTTGAAATTTGTGATGAGACTGAGGTGGGTATAGCGGAAAACAAGCACATCCAAATGTGTGAAGTCGTGAAGATGTTTATATTCAGGCTTAACTTTATGCAACAGTTCAAAGGGAGTAATATTAGCTGTAGTCGAGGACTGCATTCGGTTAATAAGATATACAAAGGTGAGAACAGCCTCCGACCAGTGCTTATAAGGAACCGAGGCAATCATGAGAAGAGTCCTGGTTGTTTCTATGATGTGTTTGTGCTTGCGTTCCGCTACTCAATTCTGCTCTTGAGTATAAGGCCAATAAACTTGGTGAATAATATCTTGATTAAGCAGTAATTGGTTGAAAGTATGATTGATAAATTCTGTTCCGCCATCGCTTCTTAGAAATTTAATTTTGAGATGTATATTTCTTGATTTAATTTTTAAAGTTAACAAAAATATTGTAAATTTACGATTTATGTCGCATTGAAAAAATCCATGTAAATCGAGAAAAATTATCGACAAATAGAAATATATAATGTAGTATATATAACCTTGAACAGAGATAATTGAGGTTGGACCCCAAACATCAGAATGAATAATAGCAAGAACAGATGTCTGATGTTTTTAGACTTATCAAAGGCAAGTTTGTACCCTTTAGACTCTCTAAAAAAAAACAAGAAGATGAGTCAAGATTTATATGAAAATGCGGATTACATTTAACTAAGGTAGTAAGCACTCGATCATTAGGATGACCGAGTCTGTTATGCCATGTAGGATGCTGAGTTGTAGCAGCCGACGGAGCCGAATTCAAGTGAGGAGAAGAATTGAGCCGAGTAGAGTAGAGACCATTGTTACATGGTACTTGAAGCAGCATTTGATGAGTCTTCATGTCCTTAAACATAAAACCCGAAGGATCAAATATTATAGAAATGGTATTGTCTTTGGTTAGTTTAGAGATCGATAACAGGTTGTAATGTAAAGATGGAGTATGGAAAATTTGGGATAGATTTAGCTTACGAGAGGGAGTCAGTAACAAGCCTGCACCGGAGTTAGCAATGTTAACAGATCTCCCATCACCGACGGTAATAATATCCGAGCCTTGGTAGGGAGCCCAAATGGACATGTTGTCAAGTGAGTTTGTGAGATGGGAAGTCGCCCCTAAATCAAGATACCAGTTGGAGTAAGAACTGTCAGAACTAGAGACCAACGTTTTGTTTTGTATTGGCAAAGGAGGCGGTGTGTAGCTCATATCCAACATGTGCCAACAGTTGGAGGCGACATGCCCTTTCTTGGAACCTTGACAGACAATGGTTTGATTTGAGGATTGACGGGTAGAGGAATTGAAGTATTGAGAGTTTCGTCCACGAGATTGACGACCGCATCCCCTAGGAGCGAATAGAGCAGTATTGGGATCAGCTATGGGTGAGGCACGAACGACATCATATGCAAGATTAATTTCTTCGCTAAGTAATAAAGAATACAGTTGATCAAGTGTGATGGGTGTAAGCATAGTGTGAATAGTTGGTTTAAAAGATTGATAGAAAGGTGGGAGACCGTTGAGGATGTAAAGAATTACATCCTCAGTATCAACGGATGAACTAGAGGCAGCGATTTGATCGACTAAGGACTTGATATCAGACAGATATTGAGTTGTTGTCAGATTCTTGAGAGAAATGTTGTGGAGAGAGTTCTTGAGTTGAATGACTTTTGATCTATTTGTACATTGAAATCTTGTTTCTAGGATAGACCAAATTTCAGCGGTGGAATCAAGATTGACCACCTAGGGAAGAATTGAAGGTGAAATGGTGGAGCATAAAGTGGCGACAAGATTTGGATCCGTTAGAATCCATTGATTAAATAGAGGATTAGAAGTCAAGCTATCGTCAGTTTGATGAAGACTGGATGGAGGAGAGGAAAAAGTAGAATCAAGAAACTTATCGAATCGATTTGCCCGAAATATTTTTATGATTTGCGCTCTCCAAACAGGGTAGTTGTCGGCGGCTAGTTGAATAGGGACGATTGTCTTTAGATTCGAGACGATGAACTTCAAAGCGGACGGGATGAAGGGATCTTCCGACTCCTCCGCTTCAGCTTGTTCGCCTGGATGCGACGTAACAGAACTCGACATTTGGTTAGGATCGATTTGCCAATCTTTCTGATACCATGAAGAACACAAACAACAAGAATAAGAATAGAAAGAGAACGAGAAAGGAAAACGGGAAACATAAAATAAAAGCTATGTTAGCATTCGTATAAGATACACGTATATATAGAGAGTGAGGATGGCCTTATTACATATGAGTCAATAGTTAAGTGCCACCTCAGCATTAATTAAGATAACGAATATTTATATATGTTTGTATACTAATACCACTAATAAAACTTCTCATTATGCATTACTAATGCTTTCAAGAGGGCTTCCATCACTAAAACCTAGAAAAAAATAGAAAAATAATACATGATTTGACAAATACAGATTGACACAGATAGGTGGACTAGGCTGAAAAGTATACACATACTCATCTGTCTTTAACATGGCTCGCAATGCCTTTGATGAGGACCCTGAGTGAGTCATTAGGAGCAAATGTCTTGATTGGATCCTCCAAGATGGGCTTCTAAGCCAATCCATGAAGGCAAGTGCCCCAAACAAACGATGAACCCCTCTTCATAGGCAACGAGTCTTAGGAGCTAACGTGGTTGTGAGCTAAGGAAGAACATAGTTGGTCGAGCAATGACAGTAGGCTCAATAGGTTTGTACTATTGTAGTTAGGACAAGGATATACTAGGAAGAAGGATAGCCTTAGATAGGGAATGTTAGGACAAGGATATACAAGGAAGAGGGATAGCTTTAGATAAGGAAAACTACTGAAAGAGTTAGTCCTCATAAGGCAAGTACCTCTTCGGGTGAAAGCTTGCTTAGGCGAATTCACTGGTCCAAACTTGTTCTATGCATTTGCATCCTTGATTGAGCTCCACATGGGAGAGATCTGATAATACAAACTTCATTAGGGCGGGTGTTTGCTTGTCTCTAGCCATGCTCCGCAGATGCTCCAAAGGGGAGGCTCGTTCTGGTCGAGCACATCTCTTAATGGAGCTCTGCAGGGATGAATTTATTTGGTATCTGTGAGTTATCTATATGGGCATGTATCATGCATGGACATACTGTTAGGAAGTACTTTGAGATCTCAAGTAAACCCCAACAATAGAGATGAAAACAACGAAAATGATCCACAAACGATGGAAAATAAGAGAAAATAGTAGCAAAAATCAACTAACGGAAGCAAAGAGTAAGATAGAATTGATCCTCAATTCAAGAGGAGGATCGATCTCTCCCAATCCCTAGATGAATATAGAGCCCAATACACCAAATCAGTCACCAATTATCATATAACCCTAACCCCAAACATCTCCTCCTATTTAATACATAAATTCAAAAATCTTAATTCAAACTTTTCCTCCAACCCTAGCCGCCCCCTCCTTTCTTATTGAATTTCCTAGTGGGGTCCACTAGAAGCTTGGGCGGCAATCCCTAGGGGGCGGAATGGCTTCGTCCGCCTCCTGTAAGTAAGAATCAGCCCAATGCTTTGGGCCAACTGGGCCGATTCAGTAGGAACCGGCCTAACAATATCGCTCTCCCACATGTTCAAGATCTTGTCTCATAAATAAAAAGAACCAATCAACATAATCCAAGTCAAAGCATGGCAATATGTCCCTAAAAAAGGCTTAAACCAAATTCCCAGGTCATTAAAAAAAAAACTTTTTTCTCTTTGCCAACATTCTAATTTATGTGCTCAAATTAGAAAATGGCAATTGGGCACCTCACTTCCTGTGCCCGTTCTTCTTCTGTTTATCTGCATATGAAGACAGCAAAAGACAGTTTAAACCTCATGTATGCTCCAAGCATTAATAATCGAATAGGTTTCTCCCAAAACTATGAAATGATATAAATAAATAAAGGACAAAAAAATTCACCCATCCTCCTTTTAGCCTCAGATTTTGCAAAGAATTCCCTCCATTCATCAGTTAAAACAAATACATCTTCTAATTCCTCCTCTTCTCCAGGATCTTCCAGTTTTAAGACCTCGCTCTGATCCATTGGTTGAACGCTGCTCATAAAAGCAACTATAAGTTCAAATAATCAACATCATCACCAAGAATAGTTTTTCAATTTAACTAATCCTACATCTCAAAAAAAAAATAAAAAAAAATAAAAACGGTTATAGACAATAGGATAAAAAAAGACAGGAGAGTAAATTGATTCCATGAGATCAATTTCCATCAATGGTTGTACCGAGGGATAAATGTTCACTAATCTAAAAACATGCTACAATATATAATATTTACACGCGTCAAATACTCTCCTCTGTACTCACATTAGCTATCTTCTCTCTCTATCTCTCTCACTCTCACTTTTGATCTTCAACAAATTCAAATCCAATAAAATGGAATTTAACAATGAGAAATATATAGTATAAATAAAAATCTTGAGCTCATCTGTAATCAGAAGGTAACCTGTAATGCCAAACAAAGTGTCTTTCACCCTATTTATGTTAAATAAAAGTTATAGTGTAGAGGTATTTGTATGCAAACTTATTAGGAGACCTAATTTTTGTGCCACATTGTTTGAAGAGCCAATGTTGTGAGACTAAAAAGTTCAGCAGATGCTCAACGGATTTCCTTGTGTGGCATAATACTATTCTAATGGAATTTAGATGGTTTATAGTTTTGTCATTCAGTAAAAGAAAAAAAAAAAAGTAAGAGTAGTCTCAAGACTATTTCTATGAGATCATTTTACTCTAATATTACGAATATGTTCAATTCAATCCCTGAATCCTCAAGTTTAATCCAAAATAGCCCCATTATTATATTATTTTGAATAGGATTCGAGGATACAAGTGACTATTTTAGATTAGATTTGAAGAGTTAAAGAAAAAAATTAGATACATTAGATAATATAGGGCTAAAATATCAGCCCTCTAAATAATCCAATGATCATTTTGATCTTTTCTAAAAAAATTTCTCTAGTCATATAAATTTATAGCAAGAGAAACGTCCAAGAAAAACAACACATGTTTAATATTTTTCTTTTATCACAATCACAATAACAAAAGAGAAATGTAGTGCATAAACAAATTATGGATCAACATCATGTTTTTCTCATAACTATATCATAAAGATAATGCTGACTTAAATTAGGGTAAAATGAGTTAGTTACTCTTGTTAGATGATTTGAATTATCCCTAGACCCTACTTAGATGATGTCATAGTTGCTCACTTGCTCTTGTCATCTAAATAAGAGGTCAAAAGGATTTAATCCTCTCAAAAAAATATTTCAGCTAAATTGTTCAAGTATTAATGAGATCCACTTAACAAAGGAAAACAGGCACAACAAATGTGTGCCTCGCAAGGAAAATGAAAGTTAAAATTGTACACACATATAGGAAGAAATAAATTTCAGCAAATGTTTATTACAAAATAAATAACCTCTTCTATTTACAAAGTGAGCATGAAAACTGAGATGAAAAAAGGCTCAGATAATTTATGGCTTTTATATCCATATGTTTTAAGGTATGTTCAAGGCTACTGCAGCTGTTTATAAAATTAATTATTGAATTATTGTGCAGAGAATAGATTTTTTGAAAACTATTATGGGCACTATAATTTTTTTAATAAAAAAGGACAATCTAGCAAATCTGGCAGGATAAAGCTATTTTCACCCGGGAAATTTTGAAATGCGGCAAAACAAATTGTAAGCTAATACAACTGTAGCAACTTTTTAGAAAAACAAAACTTCAAAATAATTCCCTCGAACGGATCCTTAATCATCAAGCTATTGCTATGAGGACCGGTTTGATAGGAAACAGATAGGAAACACTTGTAGATCTCAAGTATTTCCTATCAATCTACGAAAAAAACGAGAATTCTTCACAAAAAGTCCGCCAAAACTACGAAAGTAGTAGATAATTTGTATTATTTGATGAAAGAAAAAAAGGAAATTAGCAAGATACAATTGATCCTCTATTCAAGAGGAGGATCGTTCTCTCCCAATCTCTAGACGCCGCTAGAGCCCAAAAGAAATCCAAGAGATCTCAAATTTCAGCCAAATTCAAGATACCTAAATCCTAGGAAAACAAACTATTTAATGCATACAAATCAAAAGGAAATCCCTAAACAGTCCCTACATTCAAATTTCTTTCTTAATTCCAAAAAAATAAAAAAACTTCTTATTCGGCTCCCGCACGGCGTGCGGCTCGCGCGGCATCTCGCACAGGCGGAAAAACTCCGCCCTATTCACATCTGGGCCGATCCCGCGTCGACCGGCTGAACTAGTCCATTGGACCGGTCTAACAATAGTCCCCTCCCGAAGATCCACCTTGTCCTCAAGGTAGAGATATGCTCGTATTCCGGTGGAGGTGGTCATTCTTGAGGTGGCAGAAAATCCTTACCAAATTGTTGAAGTAGGGGTTGCCCTGAAAGAGAAACATCCCCTCCCTCCTCTATCCTAATCACATTCATATAGTCCCACCCGATAAGCTTCCCCCACCTCTTGTAGGCTCCTAATCATGGTCTTAAGTGATACCATGGTTTTGGATAGCCCTGCATCTCCCCTTATAACCACATTTCTCCTATCCACTATTAATTTCACGTGAGTGCTCCCCAATTGTCCTTAGTTTCCCCCAAGGTTTGCAACAATTTCATTCACATGATGATATCAGTACTTCATAACTCTAGTGCGAGAAAATCCTCCCTGACCTGAATCCCCTGGATGGTCAACACCACTTCTCTACATATCTCCTAGCCTTTCTCCACCTTCCATGTACCCATCATCACCCCGTAATAACTGGTGTCCACCAATTTTACTCCTACTTGATTGACAACCTGAGTAGAAATAAAATTATGGGTAGCCTCACTGTAAATCAAAACAACCACCTCCATGCCTGCTATCTCCCCCTTCACCTTCACCGTATGATTCGAGGTGAACCCTACTACTGAATTCAGGGAAACCTCAGTCATATCTAAATGTAACTTCTCCTCCCTCTCTTCCTCTAACTCCCCCTCACCTCCCTCCTCAGTTTCCTTATCATTACAAATGGTGAGAACCTGAACAGTTCCGTCCTTGCACCGATGTCCTAGCGTATACAAATCAAAAGGAAATCCCTAAACAGTCCCTACATTCAAATTTCTTTCTTAATTCCCAAAAACAACTTCCTATTCGGCTCCCGCACAGCGTGCGGCTCGCGCGGCATCCTGCACAGGCAGAAAAACTCCGCCCTGTTCGCGTCTGGGTCGGTCCCACTTGGATTGGTCTAACATAAACACTTGTAGATCTCAAGCAATTCCTATCAATCTTTGAAAAACAGAGAGAATTATCCACAAAAATCCACTCAAAACCAGAGAAACAGCAGATAATTCATATTATTTAATGAAAGTGAAACAGAAAATACCAAAATACAATTGATCCTCTTATCGAGAGGAGGATCTATATCTCCCAATTCTCTAGACGCCGCTAGAGCTTACACAAATCCTAAGAGAGATCTCAAATTTCAGCAAATTCAAGATGTCATAACCCTAGGAAAACAAACTATTTAATGAATATAATCCAAAAGAAAATCTCTAAGCCGTCCTTACATTCAAAGTTCCCTCTTACATCCCTCCAAAAACCTTCCTATTTTGACTACTGGAGCCCGCAATTTGAGCAGCACGCAGGGGAGGCGGACGAGTTCTGCCTGTGTCTCCGCGAGCCGGTCCTGTATGGACCAGTCTAACAATACCCCCCTCCCAAGGACTCAACTTGTCCCCAAGGTGGAAAGACGACACTCTCCTCAATTTTCTTGTCATCACAAACGGTGAGAACCTGAAGAGTTCAATCCTTACACCTGTGCCCTGATGTATACCTCTCGTCACATCTGAAATAGAACCCATTCACCCTCTTTTCCTGTAATTTTATTTATGTGAGCTTCTTGAAGTTGTCCCCATGTCTTCCTCCTATAGTCTTCTCCTTCGAAGTCTCCCGAAGAGTATCTGGTGTTGGCTGCTTGGATGCCAAAAAGGTGGTCATCCTATACGAGCCTCCTGAGCTGCTGCCTCTCATCCCTCTCTCTAGGTGCCTCTAATCATCCATCAACTGAGCTAGCTCTATAGTATCTCCCAAGTCACGAGGCTTCATCACTCTAACTGATGAGCGGATCTCTGGTTTCAGTCCCTTCATAAAGTTTCCCTCCAGTATAATCTCTGAAAGTCAATCCAATCGTCCGGCAAGGTACTCAAATTATTTATTGTACTCCACCATTGTCCCCTCCTGCATCAGATCGAAGAATTGCTCATAAAAGTCCTCTTCCCTGCTGGTTTGGAGACGTTCCAACAATTAGTCCTTAAACAACTTCTAGGTCCGTATCGGTCGCCTTGTATCCCTTCATTGGTATCATGCTAAAGCTTTCCCTTCCAGCACATCTCTACTGTCGTCAATCTCTCTCCCTCCGTCAACCTGTTGACAATAAAGTACCTTTTCACCTTGTAGATCCACCCATGGGCATCCTCTCCCTCAAAAATAGTCATCTTCAGCTTCCTCGCCCTCAGATCGCCTCCATTCCCTCTGTTCCCTTCATAATTACTCATTCCTCAAGGGGGTGGTTCCCCCCAAGTGTCTTAATCATCATTTCTACGTTCATACCCAAACCTTTCATCAAATTTTCACCTTCTCCTTTCAAATTCAGCCCTCAGATTGCCCTACCTTCTCCCGCCTCTCCCCATACCCTCTCCCCATACTATGGACGTATTTGTCCTATTGACACGTCCGAAGGAATCAATATTCCCCTCCCTAGAAATAGGCTCTAGGGGAGTTTTCCCCGCTTCCTTGGTTGCAATAGACTTCCCTTGCTTTTGACAACGCTGTTTTGGGTTTGACCCTCGAGCAACTTCTTCAACATATCTCCCAAAGTGAAAATTTTCCATAAATCTTTTCGTGGAAGGTTGAAATTTGACTTTTGACATCTGAAAGTTTTGTGTGGAGATATGAAATTTCTGATTTCAACTGTCCGATCTCCCCGTCAAGACGTTCTTCCAAAGCATCCACTTCCTTGGCTGCATTAGATATACGGATTTTTATTAGCCTCAAAATTCTGGATCTCGGCCCAAAAAACAACAAAAACCCTTTTTCGGACAAAATTTTGCTGCAGGAATTCACAAAAACAGCCCCAAAAACAGTCCAGAAAGCTGCTCTAATACTAATTTGATAGAAAACACTTGTAGATCTCATGTAATTCCTATCAATCATTGGAAAACAGCGAGAATGCTCCACAAAAATCCACACAAAACTAGGAAAATAGTATATACTTTGTATTATTTGATGAAAGGGAAACGGAAATTACCATATACAATTGATCCTCTAGACGCCGCTAGATCCCAAACAAAACCTAAGAGATATCTCAAATTTCAGTCAAATTCAAGATGCCCCAACTCATGGAAAACAAACTACTTAATGCATACAATCTAAAAGGAAATCTCTAAACAATCCTTACATTCAAAAAAGGCTCTAGGGTATGTCAGCCAGAAAGATGACTGAAACAAATACTTAAGTAGTATAGTATGACAGAATTGCATTCAGCGTGTAAACATCACTGAACTGAGCAAAAAGGCAAATATGGTGGACATTACCTTTGCTTAAAATCGTTATAAACAATGCCTAGGAGGCTAGGATATAAGAAATCTTGCACCCTAATTTATATCATTAAATACATGGAAGCTTAGGCTTGACTATCAAGGCGTAAGCAAGACATAATCACATCAATGGTCATTAACCAATAAAAGATGCTTGAAATACGGCAAAATTTAGAACCAGTCAAATAGATATTGTAGCATTGAATCAAAATGAAAATAGATTTAAATGTTCCTTATCAAAAATATGCTTTACAATGTGAAAATAGTAACCGAAATATATACAGCCATTTAATATTCTATACTAAAAATACTAATAAGCATTTATTGAGCTGAACAAAAACAAATGAAACCATGCTAATGTTAAGTTTGTTGATGAATTGAGTCTACACATTATTTTCACGTTCAGCTTGTTAGGTACCGAACAGGAGTTGCTACACGAGTTATTTACTAACTTCGAGCTGGATGGGCACCCCAAGCCTAGAGGGTCAATTAGCAGTACTTTTGAATCTTTATCAAGCTCTAGAAACAATCATTCCCAATAAACTTAGCATTTATTTTATGTGATTTCATCAGTGTCTTTATCTTAAAAGAAGCTTTTTTCCCAATGTCAGAAGTATTACATAAAAGCATTATAGAAATTTATATTCTAAGCATTTTAACTATATATATATAGCCCCGTATATATGTGCATGCACACACATATTTTACCTACATGCAGCATGTACGCTCAAGCACACATGCTCTATTATTTATCATATGCTAGAAACATTCTTGAACTTCAATTTTACATGATTCGGCATCCCTGTTCCCTTTTTTTTTTTTTTTTAATTTTATTAACGCACCTTAAGCTGAAAATTTCCTTAAGCTTCGGCTTAAGCATCACATACTGGTTGTATGTGTAGCAAAGGTATGTGATTTGAAGGTTGACAACATATCCTGGTATGTCAACATGAACAGCACTATCCATAAACAACACCTACAAACGGCATCTTATCATCAGCCTTATACTAAATTTTTAAGATAAGATTTATATATAAACCATCATTTATACTCATTCATGTTGAGTATTGCAAGAGATTTTGAACTTATTCCGCACAAATCTTTAATAACCTTCTATTCACATTATCATAGATTTATTCCTTTTCTTTTCTTCCTTATGATTAAACACTAATTTTACCTATCAATCTAGTCGGTACAAGTTCTATCCTAATTTACACAACTAAGTAAATGTAACAGCCCAAATTCTTAACAATCAAGATATTATCCGCTTTGGTCTGGAGCCTCACAGTTTTGTCTTGTTGGTGTAACTACTCAGTAGCTTACCCATCTCAGAATTGCTCTGGGATGAGCACGCTTAACTGCAGAGTTTCATGAATAAAATTTCAACCATTACACTAAAAGATGCCTCGATGATGTTTAAAGTTTAGCTTCATTTACCTAAGGGGTTTCATAGTAAATGTGTGATTAACTTAATTCAATAAATGCTACTTCTATCGTCTTCTAATATAATTATTATTCAATCTACAATTTAGTACTAAATTAGCATAATTGTAAACATTGCTTTTATAACACTTTAATCCATATACTAAAATGTTGCTGACTTAACTTTCACTATTATACTTCAACATTAAAAGACCATGGGCTCAAACCATAGCATCGGCTCAACGATTAACATAATCCGATTGATCTGATCCAATCAATAATTATGTTTAGGTAGATTTACAAGCTTGAAAGCTTAACCACCTGACCGAACCTGACTCAGAATTTTCTTTGAGGATTCCACTTCGACATGGACGAATTTGTGAGAATGGTTGTTTTCTAAGCTAAAAATGTATTTAAGGGTTGAAAAACCTGACAGAATATTTTTGTATGAATTTATAATGGTGGTGTAACGATAATATTAAATTTTAAAACTGAATGATTTATCAACTAACACATATATTTTGAGTGGTATACCACCAAAAAAACTCAACAAAAATAAAATTTGGAATGCCTATTACCACCATGATCAATTAAATGAAAAAAAAAAAAAAAAATATTGCTATATAATATTAATGAAATGGAACATAGACAAACTTCAATCTTTATTGTAATCTCAAGTAAATAGCACATACCCACTTTCAGAAACCAAGGTTTCCACCGCCGTTGAAACAGTTGGGCAGCCACTGAAGAAGCCTGCCGGGACCGGGCATGGCTTTGGAGGAATAGATGAAATTACGCGAGGATTGATTGCGAGGAGATGAAGATTGGATGAGCAGTTGTTTAAGTGATGGTGATGATGATGGTTATGATGGAGAGGACAAGGGTAGAGTAGGGGAGAAGTGTCGAATTTGGTGAATAAAAGGTGATGATGGTGATGCCGGTGCAGCAGCGGAAAGCAGTGGCAGTGGCAGTGTTGGTGGTGATGATGGATGTGGTGAGGAAGGGTTTGGGAGGGCAGCTGAGAGGGCATTCTTCGGTTCTCGCTGAAGTCGGAGAATGAGAACGAAGGGTCGGTTCTTCGGGCTTTATTTTTGCGTTCTTCCGTGATTTAGGTGGCTCCATTTTATATATAATAAAGAAATAGTTTATATTTTTTAGCAAAAAATTTATTTGCAATTCCATGACTTCTACACACTTTGATATCTCACATATATTCTAAAAATCTTATTCTAATTTATTTTAAAAAATATGAACTTATAATCATATTATAATTTTAGAATATTGTCCTTAGATATATATATGTGATGGCATTACTGAGTCACTTAAATTAATCATTATGTTTTGACATATTGTATATCATGACTTTTACACACATTGATATCTCACATATATTCTAAAAATCTTATTCTAATTTATTTTAAAAAATATGAACTTATAATCATATTATAATTTTAGAATATTGTCCTTAGATATATATATGTGATGGCATTACTGAGTCACTTAAATTAATCATTATGTTTTGACATATTGTATATCAAAATTGTTATTATATAATATTGATTAAATGATTTGTCCAACACAATACATGATTTGAATAATGGTATATTATTTTTCCAATATGTTCCTAATAATTAATATGTATATCAAGATATTATGACTTTATAAAATACATACAAATATTAGGGTTTAGGATTTATATCACAACAACATCCTTCCTCTCCTATATTTTATCATCTCATAAATAAATCAAATGAATAATATTAATGACGTTCACAAAAGATCATTAGAGATAGCCCGTTGTTATGAAAAATAGCCACAACTTGAACACATGCTAAAGAAAATAAAAGGAATATGGGAGAAGAATGTTTGAAAAGCTTATATGATATGAAGGTCACATAGCAATGCTCCGTGATGGCTTCACATGTTTTATTCAAAATTAGAGGTATTTGTATCTAAACATAACATTCATGCATATTTTTCAAAAAAAATAAGCAATGGTTATATTTCACAAATTTCTGACATAGTTGGGCATATAAAGATATAAAATTAAATATCCCTTTTAACTTTGTCTTTAAATGCCCAATAACATCCTTTTTTTAGAAGGAGATTATGCACCACTCTGCTAGGGTTTGCTTAGTAACCCTTTCTGTCGCTCATGGGTTCCCTTCTAAGGGCTTCCTCCCCTTCCCTTAACCCTCTCCCCATGTCCTCCTCCTACCATTTCTGAGTTCCCTGCCCTTAACTCCACCCCACCCCAACCCCCTCATGTGCTTCCACCCTTAACTGGTTTGGGATCCTTTCCGACCGCAACTCCACCACCAACCCCCTCACCTTCCACCCTCCTTATGAGAAGTGTGCATGCACTGTCGACTCCATAGTTTAGGACGCGTCCAAAGCATGGGTACTCTCACTTGTCTGGTATGCCATTGGTTGAAGGCCCTTCTACGAAGCACTCTTCTCGGGCTATGTGTAAGGCTTGGCCTTTAAAAGGTACTCTCACCTTCCTTTCCTTGAACAATGGCTTTTTTCTCTTGAAACTTCTTGTTGTAGAAGATTATGAGCTTGTCTGGTGGGGTGGCCCTCGATTTTTTCCAGGAAAACCTTTCATCTTACAAAATAGAGCCCTTTATTTAGACCCATGAAAGAGGAGTTCTCTTCCATCTTTATTTGGATCAAAATCATTTATCTCCCCCTCGCATGTTGGTGCCCATATGGGATTTCGATAATTTCTATTTTCTTTGGAAAGTTCATTGTTGTTTATGTTCTAACTGCAATCGAGACCAGACTTACTTTTACCCGTGTTTGTGTTGAAGTGGATAAATCCTTCTCCATGTTGGATGGAGTGTATATCATGCTCAAAGAGGAAACCTTTAACATTAAGATCTAATATGATTAGAAGCCTTCCTACTATGTTTGATGTTGTTCATTCAACCACTAGTCCAACCTCTGCCCAACAAACCCCCAACCTCTTCCTCATACCATTGTTCCTTCTTCTGTAGCTCCCACAAAGTGGTAGGGCTTCCACTTGGAATGAGAACAATAGTTAATCCCTTATCTTTAATCACAATCTCTTGGGTCTCCAATCACCCATGTCGGTGGTGCCACCCATTGTGGCAAGTGAGTCGACTTAAGCTTATCCTTCCTCTTCCTCAGCGGCTCCGACCACCTCTCTGCCACTGAATCTTCCTCTTCACAAAATTAACTCTCTAACTAACGAAGGCTTACTATGTCAAGACACTTAATCATAGGTTCCTTTTCAAGAATTTATACCTTAAGTTTTCTCAGTTTTGGGACTCGCCTATTTTGGTTTGGACTGATAATCATTATGATGACTCTATTTTCTCTCCTTTTAGCAAGCTTAAGATTTTGAAAAGAAGGCTAAATTATCTATATTGGACATCTTCTAATAGCATTTTTAAGGATCCAATTGAGCTCCTCTAAATTCAAAATTCTTGCCTACAAAATATTCATAATGATCCTCTAGACCCTCTCTATGTGCTACTTTTAAAGAATTCAATCTTAGATTGGCTTTGTGTCACTCTTCTTGGTCCTCTTGGATCATCCAAAGAGCTAAGGAGAAATGGTTGTCCAATGGTGATGATGAACATGGTTTTCTCTATAAGAAATTAAGGTGAGGCATAATGGGAATGCCATTAATGAGTTGGTTACTCCGGCTGCCACCCTCTCCTCTCCCCGGGATATTTCTTCTGCAATTATCCACCACTTCCAAACTTTGTTCAACTCTTATAGGCTCCCATGGGCCTCCTCCTCCCGCTCATTCTTGTTGGCACCTATGTCCCTCGTCCTCTTTTGGCCACCTTGATAGTGATGTTAGTGAAGAGGAGATCAAGGGGTGTTATCTTTGTTGCTACTCCCAACTCTGCTTCTGATCTTGACGGGTACTCATTTGAATTCTTCAAAATAAATGGGACATTACTCGGGCTCATATTTGCAGAGGTATTAAGCACTTCTTCCTCTCTTCCTCGTTGCCTAAATATTTCAAAGCCACTACAATCACTCTCATTCCTAAAATCTCTCAATGCTAAGGCTATTTTTTACTACATACTCATTTCCCTTTGCAATGTATTTTACAATATTATGAAAAAAATATTGGTTACTAGGATGAAGCATGTTATGCTTCACATTTTCCATCCCGAGCAATTTGATTTCATCAAGGGAATGATCTATACTAATAACATCTTGCTTGCCTTTGAAATTTTGAGAGAGTTTAAAACAATTTCATTTATGAATTATTTTTGTGCTAAGTTCGATATTCACAAAGCATTTGACATTATCTCTATGGAATTCTTATTTTTTGGCTTTTTTGTGCTAAGGGTTTTCATGCTAACTTTGTCTTCTATGTGAAAGCTTGTATTGAAGATGTTCATTTTTCTCTCTCTTTTAATGGTGCTATGGAGTGCTTTATTGGGTCTTCCTCTAGCCTCATACATGGGTGCTCCTTTTTCCCATACCTTTTCTACATTGCAATGGATGTTCTTTCAAATCTTTTGGATAATTCTATTGCCCCTGCTTTTTAGGGGCATAAAGTTGGGAAATCTAAACTTATCTCATCTTATCTATAATGATGACTTAATTGTCTTTGGGGAGGCTACAACTGAAAATATTTTTTCTTTAAAAAATACTCTTTCCTCATTCTCTCGGGTGACTGGTTTATATATTAATAATGAGAAGAACTATATCCTTTTTTTCTTATGGTTCCTCTAATGCTACTGATGTATGCAGAATCTTGAACATACCTACTACTGTGAGCTCTTTTAGGTACCAAGGAAACCCTGTTTATTTGAAGAAACAATTTTTTGCTAATTTTCCTCTTTTACCTCAAAAAAATTATGATCTTCTAGATGGCTGGATAGCCAAGTCGCTGTCCTTTGCTAGGAGAATACAATTCTTGAAGTTCACCATATCGAATACCATAGCCTACTAGATAAGGGGTTTGATTTTACCTAAGGGATGTTTCAAGTTTATTAACAAGGTTTGTTCTAAGTTCCTTTTCCATAGGGATATCAATTTTCAGAAGCTTCATACAATCTCTTGGAAAGTGGCTTGCCGACCGAGAACTCATGGTGGTTTAAGCATACTCTCCATCCAAGCTGTATACTATGGCTTCACTTGCTCTATCATTTGGAGATTTATTAATGATGACAGTCTTCTATCAAGCTGGTTTACATATTAGTACGAGTCCTATTGGAAGCCGCTCCCCCTTACTCTTCCAATTGTTGAAAGTTGGTTTGCTCCATTGCTGATCAAATCAAAGACAACATTACACTTAAGGTGTCTCAAAATTGTTCTCTCCTTTCTTTATGACCCATGGTGTGAGGACTGTGCATTGCATACCATCCTTGGGCATGAACTTAATAGACATTTCCCGCACATTCCCCTCTATAGCATGATCAACAACATCAGTTGAGAGCTCTTACCTCCATGTATATGCAACCTCATTCTTAACAATTCAATTATTGAGGTTTCCTCCCCTAACATTCTCTAGCTGCCAGGAGGCACCCTTCCTTTAGTATCTTTTCTTCTGATTTTTGTGTTTGCCCAAGTTTCTTGGTATAATTTCCTATGGAACAAAAGGTATACACTTCATTTCTCTGCTTTTACATGGATGGCCTAGTTGGAAGGGCTTAAAATCACTATCATTCTGCTTAAGCATAATGTTGTCGTAAAACTTTGCTCTTTATGATCCTCCAATATGGAGTGTCACACTCATTTGTTTTGAGCGTGATTTCTTCTTTTATATTATATCAATTTTGTTACTTTTTGGATTGCTTTTTTCCTCAGGCCCAACCTGCTTTAGGTGTTTCAATTTGTGGAGAATTCACATACTATTATGGTCTCTAACAAAAGTTTCTACTATATTATTATTTCATGCAATCTTTATTTCTTTCATTTGGGAGGAGAGGAATGATAAAAGATTTGGCTCTAGCTTTTGTAGCTCATATATTGTTTCTTACAAAAATAAAAAGGCTATCATACTTAAAAATATAAAAATGGAAAAATCAAAATGAACCTAAGCAATTTCTTTGTTGATTTATTATTTTCCTTCTTGTTGCTTCATGGCATGTTTGGATTGCTAGTTCTTCAGGTTCTATTTTTTGGGCACTGGGTGATGTTTCCTTTTGTTGGAGTTATGTTGGGTGGTCATTTATGTTGTTTTGGTTATTGTGTGAGTGTTTGATACTCCACTTGTGGCTTCTTTTTTGGGTGTTTCTGGCTCAAAGACTAGGCACTTCTATGTATGGCTGTTGTTTTCATTGGGGACCCATCTTGCTGTTTGGTTTGGGTTTTTTGCTGTTACTTGGTTTGGGCTGCTGATACTACCTTTGATTTTTGTTGCATGATGGGTTCTTCTCTCATTTACTACACGAATTTGAGGTTGGCGGACTATGATGAATGTTGGGCATGTTATCTTCTGCTCCATCTCCTGTGTGGACTTTATGACATTCAATCTTGTTTATATTCGTGGAAGGCCTTTGGGTTGTTAGGGGAACTGTTATCATTTTCGTTTTTGGGGATGCCCATTTTCGAGCATTCTGAACCTTTTTGAGTTTGGCCCCCTTTGGCTTATCTTTCTTTCTTACGTATGTTCTTTTTAAATTGGGTATACATATGGGTGTACTTTCTTCCTTTTAGTATATAGTTGTGTGTACTTTTTGTGATTCTCTTTGTTTATAATTTGTAATTATGTTACATAGTGAAATGAATTTGGGCTCTGCCCTCATTTTACCAAAAAAAATCCTTTTAAATTAGTTTGAACAAAGTGAGCTTGAAAATTGTTATTTGATTTTTTTTTATCCAATTAATGTTTTTTTTTGTTGTATTTGATTTTCTTATGTAAATATTTGACGTTGAGTTCCACACATTTATTTTTTAAGAAAGCATATAAAATTGTATTTATATTATTTTATTAAATAATGTAATAATTTTGTTAAATAAATGAGTCATGAATAAATAATAAATAATATAATATAATATAAATTGCTTATAATTTTAAATATATGATAAGTGAATATATCTCACAAAACAAATTGGTGTAGGATGCATTTTATAATTTGACTATTATATTTTGGAGAATTTGTCATATAAAGTGAAAAGTTATCTATTTATATATCCAATATATAAATTATTCTATCTTTCAAATCTTAATTATTTACAAATTACACTTTGAAATATTTATAAACTAATACATTTTTATTTGTATTTCTCCAATTCTCATTTTAATATTAAGATTCTCAAATCTCAAATACTGTTAACTCATAATATTTATTTTTAACAAATTTTTAATTGTGCATATAAATAGATGAATTAAATAGTTAAAAAAATAATATGAATGCTAGTTTTATAAATATTTTAAAAATGGGTATTATGTATTTAATTCCCACTTTATGGAGGCTTGATGGCTTATCGGTTGGAGAAGACGAGGAGTGGAGTACGCAATCGACACCAGCGGACTCGAAATATCTATTAATTCCAATTCTGAAATTCCGGAGAAGTGTTCCTTAAGTGAGTCTTCGGAGACTGACAGTCTTCACTGTCTATTTCTAATCGCGGAGGAAGCCCTTGCAAACCCTAATCCTACAGGCGGAGCAGAGGTAGACAGCGAAGTGCTTTGGGTGAAGCATGTCGGGCGCTGGTCAGGAGGAGGACAAGAAGCCGGACCAGGCTGCGCACATTAATCTCAAGGTTAAAGGCCAGGTGAAATCTCCCGATCTCATGCTGTGTCTTTTACATTTAATTTTTTTTTTTTAATTTTGGTTTGAGGTAATATGATATTTGTGGCTTTTGGAGTGATCGGAGTAATGGCTGTAATTTTTGACATCTTTTTCATAACGCGAGATGCTATGGGTTTTTATGATGCAGGTGAGATCAAAATTTTTGATTGAAGAAATAAATTTTTTGTTTTTCTTAGTTTTTTTGTTCATTCAGGATGTTCGATGATATTCATGCATGGAGATGATTTGCAGTGATGGAATTTGTTAGAGGATCCATTTGAGTTTTTTGACGGATAGACTGAATTGACATATGGGAGAAAGTAAACTTATGAAACATACAGAATTTAAAAAAAGTATTATTGTAATAGTTCTTAAATTTTGATTTTTGAGACTCATTAGTTGACTGGATCTATTTAAGAGGGATAAGATTTATAATTTATCATGTGCATGACAGACTTAAAAAAAATGTTTAGAACTAAGTTTAAATAGAAATTAATTTAAGCTGTTATTAAATATTGGAATATTTAGTTACCAGTTTAAAGTAACTGTTTGAAATTATATTACTAATTTTATTTTTTGGGAAAGTATATTACTAATTTAAAAGACCTAAAATATTTTAATATTGATTTGAAGATTAATTTATATCGATTAATAATTATGGAAAAAAAATTATTTCTAAATTTATTGTATGCATCAAACAGGAAGATAACCGAAGATATATTAGAGAGCCTTATTTTGAAATTGTGCTCTTACCTCGTGATAGACTTTAAAGATGTACACATGATCTTTGTTTATCCATCAAGTATTTATATTTAAATTTATAATTGTTTTAGCATTTCAATAATCAAGAAGGAGAAAGTTATTATCTAGTTATTTTTTTTAATATTAAGAAGAGAATGTAATGATTAGAAGACTTCATGATATGTTGATTCAACGATATACTAGATAGATTTGATAAATACAACTTGTCTTTTTTGCACAGTAACTTTTAAATTTAGAGTTATTTATTCTTTAATTTAAATAATAACTAAAAAGAATGTAGCCTTATCCATGCAATCTAATTTCTATATAAATTCCTTAATAATTATATCATTTTTTATTATCATTTTGAATTGTGCCAAGGAGAGTGTCGTATGCAATATCTCACCAATACCTAAGATGTTCCTTATCAATTAAGGTTATAAATAAGCCTCCTTGTAATCAACATGAAATAATTGAACTGGGAATAGAGTTCTGACATTTCTTCTAGAAAAATACTCGTTGTTATTTTCTCTACACTTCTCTCCCCAATTTTTGGTTGAGGCTCCTCCTAGAACTCCCTCCCTATTCTCTTAATTGGCACGCCTCTGAAGCTTGGTCCAAAATCCTAGGGCATGAATTCCATGGTGGATGATGGCCTTTTCTCCGCTTAAGAGATTAGGAAATTAATCCATTATCACCACTGCCTCCATAGAAATTCTAATTCCTTAAACCAGCAATTTTCTAACAAATCCAATAGGTGTTCCACTCTATATTTTAAAAAGTTTTTGGTATCAGAGGTGTAGTTCCAACTTGGAAAAAATTGTTAATTAAGGACTGAGAATGATGTTATTGCTGATTGAGTGGTTTTATGAAACTTGAGATATATTGCCTGAGGAGAGATTAATGACAATTGAAGATTCTCTCTCTTGTTGAAGTAATAAGTGGCAATGTTGATAGCTAATAATATTGCCACTATGTTGGCTAGCTTTGAAGTTCTTGTTTCTAAGGTGGCATTAGCAACTTAGCCTTTGCTATCAAGGTCGAGATAAGATTGAATAACCATACCTTGATGGAATAATCAAAGCTAATGCAACTGATGATTTGTTTGAGTTTTTAGAAATTTATTTCACGGTTAAAGAGTACGTTGATAGAAAGAAAGTTGCTTTTGCTTTTTTGAAGTTTCCACACACTGTTTAGTGTGGTGGAATTCATATTATAATGTTAATCTTGACATGATCAAATCTTAAATGTTGTTGAAAGTTCAATTCCATAAAAAGAGGGAAAAAAGTGAGTTTGATGGAAAAAAATTGAGGTCTTAATACTATACAAAACTTAGAAAGCAATCAATTATACAATTTGTTGAATTAGCAATTTTTATGCTTGAATATGTTGTGGGGTTTCATGAAAGCCATGCAGAAAATTAAAGATTTTTCAGTTATCCTTGATGATTGCCTCTCGAAAAAAGCGCAGTTTATATTATTTGAAAGAAGAAGATTGAAGGTCCAACTATAGAGGAGCAAGATGTTAGATCATTGTATTGCTACTTCAAAAAACCATGGCATAATCTTAAGGATTGTTGTAATTTATATCCAGAGAAAAAACCAACATGGGAGAACAAAAAGAAGAGGATCTTCATTGCTATAGGAAAAGCCATTGAAGTGAGGTGAAAAATGCTAATCTAAAATTTTCCCACTTACTGCATGCACATGCAATGGGAAATCCATGAACCATTTCATCTCAAAATTCATGTAAAATCCTCTTTCGATGATGTCTATCGATTCTTCCATCAAAATTCTAATTTTCTGGATTTGAAATTTTTTGTGGGTTCTGATTAAATATGATATAGTTGCGCGGACTAGTGCTCAGCAAGTGATGTCAGGGAAGCAGAAGAGATGAAGGAAAATATTTCAGAGAAGGGGAAGCTAGATGAACTGGAGGAGATAGGAAGAGTAGTAAATTAAGCACTCATGTAAATCTTGTTGTGACATCAGTGAGGCAATATGAAGTAAACTCCTGTAAAATTGGCTATAACAGTTAAGAAAACAAATTAAAAATTTGTCCATGATATTCTTCTTTCATGTTTTGAAACCTAGAAAAATAACTTTATTTGTAAATTCTTTTCTCTGTAGTTCTATGAAACCAAAACATTCCTTGATATGAATCATGCATACTAAAAAAACCTGCATGATGATCAGTCATGCCTAGCATGCAATTTTGAGATGTCATGCAGACTAATTTACTATTAGACTAAGAAATGGTATATTTTGTTATTTTTTATTCATTGTGGCGAAGGTTGGGCTTTCATTTTCAAATCCTTTTTCTGTTTGCCTGAACAAGACCTATTTATTTAATTTTGTCAGACCAGTCAAGTGCCGTGTGCCTATAGTTTTGTCATCAATTGTAGGGTTATTGTGAGGTTGCCAGTTCAATTTTATATTTGATGTGTTGTACTTTATCCATAATATTAACTGAATTCATTTGATTCGCTATCTTTATTTTATTTGCTTGCTGCCACAAATTTTGATGTAATTTTTTTTTTAATAACATTAATTATTGGTGCTTTGCTGAAGGGCCGAAGTTTCTCCCTTTTTTTTGCCTCACCCAAATATTTGGTTCCTATGGTATGCCTTTTCAGGATGGCAATGAGGTATTTTTCAGGATTAAACGCAGCACACAGCTTAAGAAGCTCATGAATGCTTACTGTGATCGCCAGTCTGTAGATTTAAATTCTATTGCCTTTCTCTTTGATGGCCGCAGGCTTCGTGGTGAACAAACGCCCGATGAGGTTAGTTTTTTTTTTCCCTTTTCCTTTATGTTTGAGGAGAGATTATTTTGTGTGGACACTGGACAAGAGAACCGTCCGGTACCACGCTCGGTATTGAGCGCAGTACACTTTTGGGGTGACATAGCACATTTTTCTAGGTCTCTGGACGATGTCCAGACTCCACACTCCACACAGAATAAAAATTTGTGTTTGAGAGAGGGATAAGTTGTTCAATTATCTATATGCCCCAGATACATTCGAATCCACAAATAGAGAAAATTTCTTATAAATTTCTACATAATAAAGATTTTAATTTTTGATATAATTCTCAGTTTTTTGGATCTTTTTTAGTCATTTAATGAGTAAATATGTTTTTTATTATCTTAAAAATGACAATTTACATTTAGTTTAGTATTCATATATCAATTTTCGTGCTGTTCATCTCGCACGTTGAATTTTTCCAGCTCGAAATGGAGGATGGAGATGAAATTGATGCTATGCTCCACCAAACCGGCGGAAGTCTGATCGACTACGCCTCAGCCTAAGGGAAGATGATGGGTCTTTATATAGTATAGTACTAAAACTTTGTGATGTTCTTCATAAATGCTTCTGATTTTCAATTGTTAGTTTTAACTATGGAAGTGAGTTTGGATAAAAGTCTATATATGTGTTCCTCTTCTTTGAATCCAATGTTTGACTTATTGTCTGAATGATTATCGAAATGGTTTTTCTACAATTTTTAATGATTGTTATAGCTCTCTTAGATTGTGGTAATTATGAAAATAAATTTTTAATAATAAATTCTAAATTAATATTTTATTTCTCTCACAGCATGTAACAAATTATTTTGTGGACAACTGTAGCATTCTCAAAAGGGTTAATTGCTGGCATTCATTTCATCGTTTGAGATGATTGATGTTATTTTCATGATTTCATGCTGATGAAGGGCGCATTGCAGAGAGGCTTATTATTATTATTATTATTTATTTGAAATTCAAATTTATGTAATATGATCTGTAGATAGGAGCATAATTCTTGTGCTAATATGTGTGGAGTGCGGACGTAAAGAACGGTTCGGATTTGTGATTGTGAAAAGTAAAAATGTAGAAGAAATATAATAAAAGTGTTATGGTGAACAATAATTATATTTATATTATTTACAGCCACAAAATTGAACTATTTTTTTGGGTTGGAATGTCAAAAATAATAATCTCTCTTGCTCGTGAGAGAATTTAAGGGTGGATACGCTCAAAATGCTGTGAATTCACCAAGATCGTACTTGAGTTTGCAAAAGTGGTGACATTGAAATTTCATTTGGGAAGGCTTTGTTATTGCTCGTAAAATAGAATTTTAGTACAAAAGTTTTTAATTTTTTTACTAAAATTTGTTTTAAGAAATAATTAAAAAATTGTGCTGAACTAAACCTTAAAGTAGAGGATAATAGAATTGGTGGATGGTAATATAGTTTTATTAAGATATGACGTTTTCAATTCGTATAAACATTATATGAAGAGGCTTAATTTAACTAAGTTGTAATTTATTAAATATTTTAAAAATAGAAATATCATTTATTATATGAAGGGCGCATTGCAGAGAGGCTTATTATTATTATTATTATTTATTTGAAATTCAAATTTATGTAATATGATCTGTAGATAGGAGCATAATTCTTGTGCTGATATGTGTGGAGTTTGGACGTAAAGAACGGTTCGGATTTGTGATTGTGAAAAGTAAAAATGCAGTAGAAATATAATAAAAGTGTTATGGTGAATAATAATTATACTTATATTATTTACAGTCACAAAATTGAACTATTTTTTTGGGTCGGAATTTCAAAAGTAATAATCTCTCTTGCTCGTGAGAAAATTTAATGGTGGATACGCTCAAAATGCTGGGAATTCACTAAGATCGTACTTGAGTTTGCAGAAGTGGTGACATTTAGCTCTCGTTTGGCTAAAATAGAATTTTAGTACAAAATTTTTTAATTTTTTTATAAAATTTTGTTTTAAGAAGCAATTAAAAAATTATACTGAACTAAATCTTAAAGTAGAGGATAATAGAATTGGTGGATGGTAATGTAGTTTTATTAAGATATGATGCTTTCAATTTGTATCAACATTATATAAAGAGGGTTAACTTAACTAAGTTGTAATTTATTAAATATTTTAAAAATAGAAATATCATTTATTATATTCATTTCTTTAATAATTCAATCATTTTCATCAGCACTATTTTACTTGGTTTTCATTTGTGACAGTTTTTTTACTGATTTCTAAATCAATTTTTATTAATGAAAATATTGTGATAAAAAATGCCTTAAATGAAGCTTTAATAAACGATATGAGTATTAGATAGATCCTTAGTTTTGTATGTATTGATTATGTCTTTTAAACCTGGTTAGATTTGACAATCCTTTTTAAAACTTTTTGTTCTTTTAAGGCATATTAGAGACATTTTCCTAAATATATCTCCAAGTTATCCAGGTCCTTTTTTTTCCTTCTTGATATGCTCAATACAAAACTAGCATGCTTTGTTGACCTATCAAAATCATCTATATACAATTGGCTTCTTAGCCCCATTCAGCCTATCTCCTCAAAAGTTCATCTTTCTTGATGATTTTTTGGCATTTATGATGAGAATATATTCTTCCACCAAATCTTCTCATAAAATCCCCTCTTATCTCTGAACCCCCAAATCAACTCTCAATGGAATCCATGCCTATAAGCAAGATAGACGCTAGTGTATAGAATCTAGAAACAACATAGGAATATGAGATCAACACAAACTCTTTCAATATATTGCTATTCTCATATACTTTCACAAAAAATATGAAGATACTCCTTTGGCGGGCAAATGGTCTTAAGGGCCCTTTTTTTCTCTCTTTAAAGGCTTTATAAGAAGTGGGAAGATTATTACATGCAATAGTCCAGGGGTTGAGAATCGTTCAGTTTTGTAACTGTGAACAATAAAAGCCCAATCATTGTTCACCAATGCGTTTTTACTGTTCACATTCACAAAATTGAACGATTCTCTATGTTCGGACTCCGCATATAATAATCTCTCCTAGAAGAGGAGCTAGAGAACCTCCTCAAATTTACAACTTTTATACATGTAGGACTGCAAACAAACCAAGCCAAGTCGAGTATGTGAGTGTTCATATTTGAGTTCATTTATTATCAGCTTGTTCAAGTTTGTTTCGTGTTTGATTCGAGCTTTATTATTTGTGTTCATGTTGGGATTGTTTAAATTAATGAGTGTTCATGTTTGATTAATGTTCGGTTAGTTTAGTACTTATTGAGCTTTAAACAAACAAGTCTTAACGAGCTATATACGAACTCTACTTCTAAATATTCATTAACTTAACAAACGAGCTTTGTACAACCAAATTCATAACATATATAATTAGTTTTTTCGAGCCATTTTTATCGAGCTTATTTATGAGTTTTGAATCACACATGAATCCAGCTTAATGTCGAGCTTGTTCACAAGCTTCAAATGATTTTGTTCATGAACATAAATAAAACGAACACATTAGTGAATATTGTTCAAATTTATTTGTTTAGTTAATTGAACGATTACGAATAAGTTTAAATGGAACCGAGCAATAAATATCTCGTCGAACATTTGATTGGCTTGCAACCCTATGTACAGGTTTTTAAAGCATCTTGCAGTACACTTTTAACGTTCGAGATTGATTCCAATGAATCAAAAGGCTTTTTTTTTTAAAATGACGATGACATAATGTATCTGTAAAGAGACTCCCCCTTCTCTCGCTCTCGCTCTCGCTCTCGGCAGAAATCTTCGCCTTGCAAGGTCTAATTGCAAGGAGAACGGCCGGCGAATTAACGCCTAGGGAGAGAGAGCCCGGATAACGGATTCGACTTGCGCGATAATTCTTCTCATATTTGAACTCGTCGGAGAAAGATTTCACCGAAATTAAAGCTTCTTTATAACAAAAGGCTTCTCGAATCCAAAGCCCTACTCCCCTGCACCAAGGCACCGCTGCGCGGGTGCGTACCTTTTCGGCTCCGAGCGTCGAGGCTTTTCTATTGCTTCAGTTTGTGGAGAACGGCTTCACGTTATTTTTCTTCCGATGTGCTTTTCTTGGGTTTTTGCTATTTCGGTTGTTTTTTGCAGGGGTTTTGGCGATCGTAGAGCTGTTTTCGTATTTTTCATTATTTGTCTTTGTTCCATTTGCATGACGAATGGTGATGGTATTTTGATTGACTATTGTATTTTTTCTGAAAGGAAAATTTCATCATTTGTTGCATTATTGCATGGTTTTGAATTTTGATCTCGTGCGTTTTCACTTATGCTCCTTTTTTTAGTTTATCTTGATCGTTTTTATTAAATCGTTAATGCATCATTGTCATTTTTTTTAATATCCGAGAGATTACTCATGGCATACTTGCTCTTGTTCTGGATGTTAGGGAAATCTGCTCTTTATTGTTTTTATTGATATGAAATTGGATTTTTTTTTTCTTATTATGAAAGATTGGGGGCTTATTGCTGCTGAGTTTAGCTTGAGAACACCGTGAGGTTGAAACGCAGGGCAGAGTAAACGGACTAAGATGGTACTGAGCATTGATCTAAACGAAGTTTCTCCTGAAAGCAGGCAGTTTGAGGAAAGTGCTGCTCCTACTGATCTGCTGGATGAGCACCCAGCGTCGCATAATGGTTCTGGGACGGTTCCTTCAGCTATTGATGCAGATGCCATTGATGATGAAGTGACTTTGCTAACTGCTAGCGAATGGTATGCTGAAGTATGTACGCAATCCCTAGTCCTTTAAATTTGAATTTTTGTTATAAGGATCGGAGACATTGGGTTTTTGACTTAATCCATTTAATATGAGGCATTTGAACAGCTGCTATTTTCTTTTACTGGCCTTTTTTTTGGTGTGAAACTTATTCAATCGAATCCTTTGGTTTTTGTTGTTGTTTTTTTTGGGTTATGTTTCCAGGTCTGGAGCCAGATAAGGAGGAAACGTTCCCTTTCCATTGCCATTGATGAAACCTTGGAAACAAATGCTGAACATTCCGGTTATTTTTTAAATATTGCTTCCGGCACTTCTAATTCTTCATATCTATTATTGTTGGGCAAATTGGCTTTTTTTCTATCTTGTGTTGTTATTTTTATTGAAATGACGTGATTTGTGTACTTAATTGAACGTTTGTTCTATATCTTTCAATAACGTCAGTTTAACTTCATTGTTTATAAAATAAATTAACTATCACTGTTCTTTAGAAATGATTGGCGCTCTTGGTTGTAGTTTAACCGTTTTTTTATTTTGAAAATATTGTAATTGTCTTCCTATTTATTGTTTTTTATAATCATTTTATGACGTAGGAACCTACAAAGAATCAAAACATAGGAGAATTTCCCAAAAGCAAAGTTACTTTATATATCTTCTTCTATTCCAGTTCTTTCGATTTTACCTATATATATTATCCTCTACAAGCCAGATAATAATACTAATGTGGTAGTAATGGTAAAATGCTGAAGAAAGATATGGCATAGCATAAGTAGAAAATAATAACAGAAAGTGTAATAATGTGGCAGTGGAGATAGGCTAAAAGGTTGTGGTGTGCTGCTGGAATAGGATAGTCATCGGCCTCATAAGAACTCGTATTAGAGGAAATGAGTTGTGTCTCAGAAACATCAGGTGGATGATAAGTATAAATGTCTGATACATCAAAAAGTAGAGGAGGTAAATTTGTTTGGTGGAAAATAAAAAATGCATGCATTATCATTGATACGTTTCACAATACGTATTGGGCATAATTCACGTGATCTCAATTTAGAATAAGTTCTAGGCGGGAAACGTTCTTTGCACATGTGTACCATAACAAGATCACCTTCTTGAAATAGCTTGTGGCGATGATGAACATCAGCTAGTGGTTTATATTGATTGTTTGAAGTGATCAGTTTGGCTCTAACTTCATCCAACATTTTGTTGAAATTTTGTCCATCAAGTTTATGATGTTTTCACCGCATATCAACTAAGGGAAAATTTAGAAAATCTTTGGAAATGAAACCTGTCTTTTGCTATTTATATAAGTATTTGTATGCATTTCCTTAGGCTGTTGTTCAACTTTTCTTATAGGAGTTGCTATGGAAGAACCAATACCAATAATATGTCCGGATTGTCATAATAGCGCAATTCTGATGAATAGGATGACCGATGATTTTGTAGTTTATACAAGAGATGATGTTCCCACGGTATGGTATCATCTCGTGTTGTTCTTATATTTTTTCATCTTTTAAGGTTATTGTCTTTGTAATGTTGATTGGAGGCAGTGTATGAAAATGAAGCAAAACGTAAAGCTATTTTCTAATTTTCATGACATCAATAGAGCTTGTTTTTTTAAAAAAAATGAAGCGTAAATGCTGACTTCTTCGATATGTTGATTATTGCATTCCTCATCTGATGCTTCCTATGTTCTGATGTTTTATTGTTTGTAGGCCATAAAGCAGCCCCTTTTTTAACATAGGTGACGTAGCAGCCTATATAGCTTTAGAAAAGATATCAACATGATTATTTTGTTGATATAATCGTCGAGCCTGTGATGCTAGCATTTTCGTTAATCTGTTTTAGTGTTGCTATATTCCTCTTTTGCCAAGTCATATTGGTGGTTGATCAACATTTGTGATGCCTATATTATATAGGCTGCCTATTGGGTTCTATTTGTGAATACTTGTTAAGCACAACATATTATTGACTTTAACTCGGTTCCTTCGATAATAAGGAAACCAACCTTGAATAGAGTTTGGATGCTCATTCTGTTGTATAAGCCAAATATGAACATGGCCTAGATTGATTAAGTTTGACTTTTCACTAGCATCATTAATCAAACAAGAAAAAGTTAAAATGGTCTCCTAACTATTGTATATGACCATTTTAATTCTATAGTATATCATTTTCTAATTTAGTCTCTCAACTATACAAAATTGATCTCAAATGATCTCTTAGGGGTTATATTTGAATCAATTTTTTATAGTTGAAAAACTATATTGATATCAATTTTGTATCCCAATTCTTGTGGATTTCTACTCAGGGATCATTTGGGATCAAGTTTTTATGGTCAGGGGATTAGATTAGAGAAATATGATATTTTGAGGCTAAATTGATTACATATGAATGGTTGTTTGTGCTTTTTCTGTTAATCAAACTATAACCACTATCACTTAACCCAACCTTTTATTGAATTGATTCGATACAATCTTTTATAGATTGGATCCCAATCCCAAGTGAACCGTGGTATCACATGTTGGATGCAATTGAGTTTCATGCATGTTTCCAAAAAATGCATGTATAGATGATGATCTAAGTGTTGTATTTGCTCTAGTTTAAATCAAAATGATGTAGAACGAGAAGGGAAAAAAAGGGGACATTTGAGATTTGAATTTCTTGCTTTAATTGAGATCAAAATATTAGGAATAATTAAATTAAATCAAATCCAATTAGAAACCTAATTAGATTTAATTTAAGTAACTTTCCTAAAGTATGCTATCTTAAATTAGGAAAGTATTTCAAATTCAAAATTACTTAGAATTTGAAATCAAATATTTTCCTAACTTAAATCGTTTGATAAAATGAAAGTAATTTGATATGCCGCCGGCCTAGGAGGGGCCGGCCCAGCCTGGACCGGTCATGGTTTATTCCAGGCGGGGAAAACCCAAGGAAGGGGGGCGGAACTCCTATGGGCCCCATGATGGGATTAATGCAATTTTTTGGGGGAAAGATTTGAATGTAAGGGGTGATTAGGTAATTTGTAATCCTCTTTTCATGATAATTAGGGGGGAATAGGAGGGAATTAGGGTTATCTTGAATTTGAATGAGATTTGTGATCTAAGTTTTCTTGCTTCGGATTGTTGGCGTTGCCGGAGATTTGGAGAGTTGTTCTTTCTCTCGAATTGAAGAACACTTGTATCTTTGTTGATTTTATTCATCTACTAGTGAAATACAAGCCTTTGCTTGAGTTTTCTCTCAAATTTCTCGCAATTTCTCGTTGTTTTCTTGTGTTTGGCTGCTGTCCACCGCTGAAAACAGCAGTTTTCTTCAGGAAATACTTGAAATCCTATCATAATCAAAGGAGAATTCAAATTTTGAAGGCAAAGAGGAAGAAGGGGTGAAAGGTGCCGACGTCATTAAAAGGGGGAGGAGATGTTATGGAAAGAGAATTAAAAAGGGATTTTGATTGGAACCTTACATTAGATAGTAATATTTAAATCACATCCAATTAAATAATTAACTGTACCTAATTCAAATACTTTCCTAAAATAATAATCCTAATTTTAGAAAAAAAAATCAAATTAATTTGAATTTTAAATTTCAATTTGTTGCTAAGTTAGAAGGGCTAAAATAGGAAAGAGCTTTGAATGTGAAGGGAGATTTGTGCAGCCAAGGGGAAAGAAGGTGACCGACAGTTTGGTGAGACTGGAGGCTAGGGAGGTTGGCGGGGGGTGTTGGAGATGGAGCTAAAGGTCGTGGGGAGGGAGAAGGGAAGGCCGGTTTTGTGGAAGCGGAAGGGTTTATGGGAGAATCGGCTGGTGGAAAGTGGGGGATTTTGGCCGGCGGTCAAGGGAGAAGGATAAAAGGGTTTAGGGAAAGAAAGATACGACCGCGAGCCTGGACACATTCTGCTACTGACGGGTACTACGTTGCCCTTCACCAAGGGACTTTAGGCCACCAGCCCGGACACATCTTGCGGCTGGTGGAAGCTATGAATTCCTCCCATAGGAATCTCACCCAAAGTTCTTCCCAAAGAACACAAGTGCAAACACAAAATTTTATTAATCATCTAACATTACATTACACAAGCAAGAGCCTCTATATATAAGCCTAAGAAACTAAAACAAGACACATATGCCCCTAGAGCTTACATAAGACGACCCTCTTAAGTAAGGGTAAAAACGAAAAATTCATAATAAAAATAAAAATTGCAAATAACAAATTAAGATAAGGTGGAATGATCTCGGACGTCGATCGTCGTCTCCTCTGAAAATCTTCATGATTGGATGTCCGCGGCACAAAACCTTCGATCTATTAAAAGCCACCCAAACTCTCTTATGTTCTCTTCGTTGTGGCAACAACCTCACTCAGCCATCAATTAAGCCTTTACTCTCCCATACCCTCTGGTACCACTCCTATCTAATCCTCCCATCATCACTCCTTCAGTCTATCCATCATTTAATTACTATCATTGATGGAAAATTGGATCAATCATTTCCTTTGATGTAAAACCTAAGTGTGAGATCATCAAGACCATACTAATCTTATTGTACTTTAGATCATAGACAAATCAACTATCTGAAAAGCTTTGGAGTGAATTGTCTTGTACTCAAAAGGACATGCTGTCAGTATGTGCCTCAAGTAAGGAAGTGCGAAACCGTCTCTCTACACTCTTAGCCTGCCATGAAAATTCCTTTTGGTTGTGGACTCCGATCCTTTTAAACTGTGGTGTTATTTGTTCATGTTTTGATTAGTTTAATCGTCCAGTTTAATGTTTGTTTTATTAACATTGATATTAGACATCGAATGAATTTTCATAATCTCTGAAAATAAAAATAATTGTAAAAATTGGAGTATATGAAAAATTTGTGCTCTATTAATTTGAAAACTATGGCGTTCAATTCGAAGGAGATATTGAATTTAGTAGATGTTTAAGAAATGTCAATAATAATTGGTGCTTAAGGCAGCAATGTGTTAGACCGGCTCTTGAGGAGCAGGCTGAATTGGTCGTTTTTGGACCTTTTTTTCGGTCTATTCCAGGCGGAACATACCCGCCTGATTTGGGGGGGGGGAATAGGGTGTGGGCCCTAGCCCTCTTATGATATTATGACTTCAATTGAGAAAGATTTAAGAGGAAAAATTCAAATTCTTGGAGCTGAATTGTTGTTTGCTTTTGCTTTAAGTAGTATTTTCTGTTCTAGGATTAGGGTTATGATGTATTTTGCAGAATTTGGTGTTCTTGTGGCTTTGCTTGGGCTTCCGATTAGAGATTGGGAGAGCAGAAGCAAGATCTTCCTATTCAATTGAAGATCCAACTGTATATTGCTATTTTCTTTCCTCTACTATTAAATTGAATGTTTTCTCTCTATTATTTCTCTGATTTTCTCTCAAAAACTGCTTGGAAGCTTGTTGGTTTTGCTGATTTCTGCAGTAATGTTCGCTATTTTCTATTTTTTCCTATCAAATTGATATCATAGCCGCTTTCCGGGGCTGTTTTGGGGCGGTTTTGGCAGTTTCCTGCAGAAGTTTTCTTGTCCGAACCATTATGTGGCTGTTTTTGGGGAAGAAATCCTGGATTTTGAGTCTCACAAAAAATCAATGTATCAATGGAGGCCAAGACGGTGGATGCATTGAAGGAACGCCTTGAGGGGGAGATGAACCAAATCAAGGCAACGGTGGAGGGCAAAACTTTCTCCATGGAAGAGCAAGTTGTTGACTTATGAGACATGATGGAGAAGATGTTAGATCTTCACAACCAAATGACGATATCATAGGCGAGAGGGCCAGAAGGAAAAAATACGAATTTTGAAATTAAGAAGGATGAAAATGTGGTGGAGATCGTGGAGGGAGAAAGGAGAAGACCCCATCTAGAGCCTTTCCAGAGGAAGGATAGAGGAGGTAGGTATGGGGAGAGGCGTGGATATGAGGGGTAGGAGCAAAGGGGTGGTGATTGGGAACGAAGGGAGGGATATTATGGCCGCTAAGTTGCTGATTTTGAAGGAAGGATAGTGGAATTCGAAGAAAGATTTGGGTATGATTGGGCGAGGGAGTTGGGAAGGGCCATCCACTTGGGGAAGGGGAAATTATGGAGGAATCAGAGGAAATGGGGGGATCCTAAGGTTCAAAAATTGAAGATGCCGATTTTTTAAGGGGAGGATGCGCATGGGTGGATCTATAGGGTAGAAAGGTATTTCACCATCAATGAGTTGACAGAGGAGGAGAAATTGACGGCGGCAGGTCTATGCTTGGAGGGAAAGACATTGGTGTGGTACCATTTGAGGGACATGAGGTAACCTATTCGGAACTAGAGGGAGTTCAAGGATTGCTTACTAGAACGTTTCCGAACCGGTAGGGCAGGAGACTTCTACGAAGCGCCTTGACGCAGGAGGGTTATGTAGTAGAGTATCACGACATATTTGAGTACTTAGCTAGTCGGATGGATCGACTTTCCGAGATTGTGCTGGAGGGGAATTTTATGAAGGGGCTCAAGCCCGAGATTCGAGAGACTATTAGAGTGATGAGGCCGCGTGACTTAAGAGAGGCCATGGAATTGGCGCAGTTGGTGGAGGACCATAAGTATTTGGAGAGAGGATTCAAGGGTAGCAGCTCAGGGGGATCGTACAGAATGACCACCACTTTCTTAGCTTCCAAGGGATCAGCAGCAGGAAGCATGCGGGAGGCCCCAAAGGAGAAGCCTAGAGGAGGGGGATTTGGGGGGATTTTCAAGAAGCTGATAGAGGAGTTGAAGGGGAAGAGGGCAAAGAGTTTGTGCTTCAAGTGTAATTAGAGGTACACTCTGGGGCATAGATGTAAGGATAGAATTTTTCAGGTTCTCACTGTCTGTGATGATAAGGAAGCTGAGGAGGGAGGTGAGAGTGAGGTAGGGATAGAGGAGGAGGAGAAGCTATATCTGGTCATGGCAAAAGTCTCCTTGAACTCAATGGTGGGGTTCACCCTGAATCTTACCATGAAAGTGAAGGGGGCGATAACAAACATAGAGGTGGTGGTGCTGATCGATAGTGGGGTTACCCACAATTTTATCTCCAATCAAGTCGTGGACCACTTGAGGGTGAAATTGGTGGACACTGGGGTTATAGGGGTGATGATGGGTATTGGGAAGGTAGAGATGGGTAGAGGAGTGTGTAGGGGAATAGTGCTGACTATTCAGGGGGTTTAGTTGAGGGAGGATTTTCTCTCATTGAAGTTGGGGAGCACTGATGTCATCTTGGGGATCAAGTGGTTGCAGATCTTGGGAGATACCAAGGTTAATTGGGGAGCACTGAGGATGGAACTAGTGGTGGAGGGAAGAAGAATGATGATTCAGGGAGATGCATGGCTCTCTAGTGCCGGGATATCTCTCAAATCCATGATCAGGACCATACAGGAGGTGGGAAGACGATTTTTGGTGGAACTATAAAGCTTGGAAGGGGTCAGACTCGGGGAAGGGGGAGACATCCCTCTTTCAGTATAGTCACTCTTACAACAGTTTAGTGAGGTTTTTTATCCTCCTCAAGGCTTACCACCACCCAGAGAGCGGGAGCATGCAATGAATTTGAAGGGGTGTTACCGATTAGTGTATGACCATACCACAGCCTTCAAATTCATAAGGATGTGATTGAGAAGTTGATACGGGAGATGTTAGAGGTGGGGATCATCAAGTTGAGTGTGAGCCCTTTCTCTAGCCTTGTCTTACTGGTTAAGAAAAAGGATGATAGCTGGAGGTTTTGTGTGGACTATAGGGCCTTGAATAAGGAGTCTGTGTTGGATAGGTTGCCATTCCAATGATCAATGAGCTACTGAATGAGATGTATGGAGCAGTGGTGTACTCCAAGATGGACTTGAAGTCGGGTTACCATCAAATCAGGATGAGAGAGGAAGATATTCAGAAGACAACCTTCAGAACACACGACATTATTAGTTCCTGGTGATGTCCGTTTGGCCTTACTAATGCTCCTGTTACTTTCTAGTCTCTTATGAACTTGGTGTTCAAGCCACACCTCTGAAAGTTTGTATTAGTTTTATTTAATGATATACTTTTGTATAACAAAACTAAGGAGCATCTTGAGCATTTGAGGGTGGTCTTAGGAGTCCTACAGGAGATCAGCTAAGGGTCAACCTGAAAAAGTGCAACTTCGCACAAACGAGTGTAGAATACTTGTGGCACATAGTGTCTCAGGAGGAGGTGGCAGCCAATCAAACCAAAATTGAAGCAATGCAGAAGTGGCCTCTAGTTAGGAACTTGAGAGAGTTGAGGGACTTTCTAGGTTTGACTGGTTATTACATAAGGTTCTTGAGGGGGTATAGCAATATAGCCTGGCTCTTAACAGAGCAGCTAAAGAAGGATAATTGGCTTTTGAGAGATTGAAAAATGTTATGACTACAATACCAGTTTTGCTCTACTAGATTTCAGTCAGACCTTTGTGGTGGAGACAGATGCATTAGCACATGGGTTGGGGGCAGTGCTCATGCAGAATCATAAACCCATAGCCTATTTCAGTCAAGTGTTGACAACTAACTACAGCGAGGTTAAAGTCAGTATATGATAGGGAATTGATGGCCATCGTGTCAGCCATTCAGAAGTGGCATTCATACTTGTTGGGTCGGCACTTCATTATCAGGACATACCAGAGAAGCTTGAAATACTTGCTGGAGTAGAGAATGGTGACTAATGAACATCAGAGGTGGCTGTCAAAATTGTTGGGATACGATTTTGAGATCTAGTACAGACCAGGATTGGAGAATAAGGCGATTGATGCCTTATCCAGATGTGTGGGAGAGCTCTAGGAGATGGCCATTTCAATACCCTTGATGGTAGATTGGGGGGCTATAAAAGAAGAAAGTGTGCACGATGAGGAGCTGATGAAGATTAGGAGGGATTTATCAAGGTTTTGAAAACCGGACTGGACAACGAACCGGAAGGAGGGGTTCGGGGTCGAACTGGATGATGTAATAAATAATAATATTATAAAATTATAAAATGAATGAGACATTTTCCTCTAATAACTTCACTCTACATTCCATTTTCATATTAAACTAATCAAATAACATAAATATTGCATCAATTAAATTTATAAAACATAAAAAATAACACAATATAAATGTGGCATCAAATAAATCAATAAAATAATAAAATATAAGCAAATATTTCATAAATAAGTAAATAATTAACCAAACAAGAAATTTTTTAGGAATGCGTACCTTTTGTCGAGCTCTATTAAGTTTTGGGTGTTGAGGAATGCAGATCATCTTCAGTTCTCTTTCTCTAAAATGTATAAAAGAAATTTTTGAGATCATATAATTTCTATCTCCAATTAGTGAAGCTAAAATATCTGAAAAATGTGTACATAATATGAAATAAATAAGCAAAATATTATAGTAAAATTATGACACTTTATACTAACTGATAAAAAAAACAAAACACATTCATAACACATATATAGAGTTACTAATGTTTCACTTTCTTATTTCAATAATTTTAATAATTCTACAAAAGGAAAATCAGATATGTCCTAATTTTCTTCGTGAAAGATATGCTCATAAGTTGAGTTTCCATGTCCCATTTCACCAAAATCTGCAGCCACAAATGCACCTAAATCATTGAAGCCAATTATGTTATATCCATCTCATTCATTCTCTAATTCACATTCACCAACAAATTAAAAAAAATTAAATAAGATTATAATGTTCTAATTTATTTAAATGATGTGTTCATATTTCACTAGCTTACCAAGTGTAAGCTGACTGTATGCTATATTTGCTTCTTCAACAACAGGTATTGCAGCCTCTTCGTATATCTCAGTTTCCAACTCCTCTAAGTCGATATCTGCAGGTGATTTTTCATCAAGCACCCAAAAATCTACCATTTCAACGCAGGTATAGTCAAGAGGATCATAACTTCTTTTTTTAGTTGAAACTTAAGAATGAAACAATAATTTTAGTGACATTTGTACATATATACAATATTATATATTGACACACAAATTATGTTATAAAAAAATTATACCTATTTTTTAAATTTAGATTATTCTGAACATAAACAAGGTCGTTCAAGCGTTGATGCTCCAAATGATTGCATCTTTTTGAGTGAATTTGTTCAAAAACACTCAAATTTCATTCGCAAATTGATAATGATGTTTGGCTTAGAATTCTTATAGATACTTTCTACAAGTTTGAAGCATTTGATTCAAACATCTTCCACCATTCATCTATATAATTTGATATTAGAAAACTTAGCAAATAAGCATATATGTTACAAAAATGTATAAACACTGACAATGAAAAGATAAGTACCAGGTTGCATTTCCTTTGCCATCGTTAGAGTAATTGTAGTGTTACTTGGTTTTGCCAGAAGCATTCCAAAATTCGTCTGCCATATATAATTTGTTTTAATGAAAGACACTGCATTCAACAAAAAATTAAATACGAACATGGATTTATAGGAATATAAGCATATCTTTAAATACAAATAAAAAATCTTTAATTAATCTTTAAAGATATGCAAACAAGGATTCAAAACCTTGAATAAAACTACAATCTGACACTGATATGACAAGCACAAAAACATTAAAAACTAATGTTTAAGAATGGCCAAAGTTAGTGTCACACCCCAGTTTGACTCACCCTCTACCACGAACTGGAGTATAACAGAGAAAGATTTCAACGTATCAAACTCCACACTTAACAACAGGAAGCATGTAATATATCTTATTGAACCTCAACATAATTAAAACAAATACAGAGCTCTACTAAAACTTTTAAATTCATTCACATACCCAAAAATCTTTACATCTAGCATTCAGATCTCGCTTTAGATCTCTTGCACCCCAAAACGTACTTACATCAAAAGAACGGTCACCTCTTTTTATTGTCCCAAGGGCTCTTTCTCCTTTCCTGCAGTACAACCACTACTAATGAGCTTGGCTCAATGAAATACGCAAGCAAGTTATAAGAAATAATAATGAACCATTAAGAAATATCATAACTATGCTAACATAATTAAAACACATATTGAAATGTCATATTGAGCCTGAAAGTGCCTAGCAGTATTATTTATCTTACCAACTATTCCACATCTTTAAATAAGTTATAGAATGACTATAAGCTTTTGCACCATTCAACTTTCCAATTTAAGGTTGGGTCTAATTTCCCAACTTTTAGAAAGGAAATTGTTCTCTCATTCAGGGTTGAGTCAAATTTCTCAACTTATAAAATTAAGAGTGTAGGCTTACCTCATCAGGTCTTTCGCCTTTACTTGTGCGGGCCTATCCCCCATATATAACTTATTTCACTTTTTATATAGTCATCCTTTTTAGAGCTAATGACATATGCTTTTGATGATATAGTTGCGCTTTAGCTGCTCTTCAGTTACCCTTTAACTTCCCTTTAGGTGCCATTTAACTGCCCTTTAGTTGCCCTTTAGGTGCACTTTAGATGCCCTTTAGGTGCCCTTTATGTGCGCTTTAGGTGCCCTTTGCTTGCACTTTAGCCGCGCTTTACTTGCGCCTTTCGTGCACTTCACTAGTTTATGAATATGTACCCTTTTATGCTTACGAAATCATTCACATTGCTAAAGATTACCCTTTACATAAACAATTTCATACATATACAACCATATTCATACAAAACAACCAAAATCAACTAGAATACATGTGATCATAAACATAATCAAGAAGAAGTGCAATAATAAAACATTTACTAAATCTTATAATCTTGTTTGGGTATCTCACCTCATCGTCAATTGGTTCTCCTATAATATTCTGCCTTTCTTTCCTTTTGTAAACAGTCTCAAATGTATGTTTCTTCATTCACCAAAATCTTTCCCTAACATTTGTCAGCAAATATTTAGTCGGCAATATAGCAGCCATAATAATAACAACAATCATGACTAAATTTCAGCTTTTCTTTCATTTTTTCCTTCTTGATTTCATACACTATTCCACAAAATACCATATAAGAAACATAAAAATATCGAAAGACAACTAATGTTCTTTTAGATTTATTACTTGTGCAAATCAGCACTTGAACTGCAGTTTACCCCCCACACTACAGTCCGCCACCTTCAGGTCCCTGCTCTCTCACCACCAACGAGTCCTTCTAGCTTCTCCCTCCTTCCCTGTTTCTCCTAAGAAAATCTGATTCAACAAATGGTTTCAGCTTCCAGCAGCCAGCAGCAGTCAACAGTTAACAGTCGGATCCTCCCAACCTAAGCAATCAGAGCTTCTTAGCCTTCCAGCAGCCGAACCCTATACCTCATCCAATTTGCTTAACTGCTGTTTATCCGACAGTGGTAGGAATGAAAGGAAAAGATATTATCCTAGTGTTTTAAAATGTAATAAAATATCATTATAAAGGTAGTGCATTATCCACTAACATTCCACTAAACTTCCATTATCATTTCAGCCACCTAATTTCCATCCAACGCTTGCATGGGTGGCTAAGTGGAATATCTACAAGCTAAGTGGAATATCTACAGCAAAATGCAATAATGACTTATACTTAATGATTTCTACAGGCATATTATTATCCTATAATAATTTTTTTTTTATAATACTCAATAAGACTCCAAATTAAAAGTCAAATTAAGTGCTAGAGGGAATTTTTACTTACATAATTGAACATTTTTGGGTATTATAGTTAGTATGATACAAGAAAACATTAATTTATATGTCACAACCCGAATTACACAAAAATTTAATGAAGATGCACTGCTTCAAATTTAGAATAGAAGCAAAGTTTTGTGTGACTTTTGACCTACAACAAAATAACACATTAATATTTTCAGCATGTTTACTAGAACGCTCTTCTTGTTTAGAAACTTAAGATAATATAATATTCATCCTGGCATCCTGCTATAAAAATAAAGGATTCCATTTTATAGTAACTTGGATTTTATTGAGCAGCAATCCTCATGAACTTTTTGATAAAGATCCTAAATACTGCAAATAAGAGCTTTTTGATGCTCACAAAAATTATGTATCATGATCAAACAAGCATAAAAACGTAAAGAACCTTGTGCCATAAAGTAAATGTGCATGGTTGAAAATTAAACATACTAAAATACAAAGTTATATCTCATGGTAAGTCGTGTGCCGGCGGCTGTGAGGTCGGAGGAGTGCGCCAACAGCTGGGATGAACAGAGATGGTCGGAGGAGTCCTTCGGCGTCCGCTTGTGGATGGAGGAGTCGCGCATGGCTTGAGGCGTAGAACTATAGAAGACTCGAAATAATGAAATACTCGCAGCTTACGAATAGGGCAGCAAGAATAGCGATCAAAACTTCCCCACGCGCGCGTTCGATCGTGGATGGACGGCTGAGATTTGCAAATTTTAGAACCGTTCGGTTCTTCAAAAGTCACCCGGTTCAGCGGTTTTCCAGTTCAACCGAGGTTTGTACTAGTTTTAAGCCGATTTCAAAGACAGCCGATTCCAGCATGGCAGCATCAAACTGGACCGCCCGCCAGACTGGTTCGCGGTCGAACCGGCCGGTCCGGTCCGGTTTTGAAAACCTTGGGATTTATTAAAGGATAGGAACAACCACCCGGGCTACTCCCTCGAGGAAAAGAGGCTAATGTACCAAGGGAGATTTTTGATGCCATGAACCTCTATTCATATTCCCCGCCTGTTGCAGGAGTTCCATGGGAGCGTGGTTGGAAGCCATTCGAGGGCGCATAAGACATATAGAAGATTGACAATTGAATTGTACTGGAAAGGGATGCGTAAGTATGCGGAGGAGATGGTGGCGAGGTGTGAAGTGTGCCAGAGAAATAAGTATATGGCTATGGGTCTAGGAGGGTTATTTCAACCCTTAGTACTTTCAGATAGGGTATGGGAGGATTTGTCCATGGATTTCATAAATGGTCAACCACAATCCGAGGGCTTCACAGTTCACATTGATTATGGTGGTGGTTGACAGGCTGAGTAAATATACGCATTTCATTCTCTTATGACACCCCTACACCGCTGTTACAGTGGCTACAACATTCATCAGAGAGGTGATTAGATTGCTTGTGATTTCAGAGTCGGTCTCTGACTGAGATAAGGTGTTTCTCAATCAATTTTGGAGGGAGTTGTTCAGGTTGCAATGTACAGTTCTCAAGAGAAGCACCGTCTACCACCCTGAGATGGACGGGTAGACGAAGGTAGTCAACAGAAGCTTGAAGACTTACGGTGTTTCGTGTCATAAACACCTCATTTGTGGGCCAAGTGGTTAGCCTCGATCGAATATTGGTACAATACATCGTACCACTCAGCTTCTTAGTTGACCCCTTTCAAAGTGTTTTACGAAAGAGACCCCCCACACTTAGTCCATTTTGGGCAAGGGAGCACATCAACCTCCTCAGTAGAGCAATATTTGGAAGAAAGGGATATGGTGCTAGAAGAATTGAAGAAACACCACAACATATCATGAAGAAGCAGGTTGATGGACACACGAATGACATTTAGTTCCAAGTGAGGGACAATATGTTTTTAAAACTACAACCTTATAAACAAAGGACAATAGCTAGCAGGAGGAACGAGAAACTAGCTCCCAAGTATTTTGGCCCGTATGAGATAGTGGAAAAGATCGGAGCGGTGGCTTATCGCTTGAGGTTACCCCCAATTGCTAGCATACATCCAGTGTTTCATGTATCCCAGTTGAGGAGAGCTATAGGGGAGCATGTAGCTAGTGTGGCATTACCGACGACACTGACTAAGGATTTGGAGGTTGTGTTGGAGCCCTTGGAGCTTAAGGGGGTGCGACAAGGAGAGAGCAAGTATAAGTAAGTGCTAATTAAATGGATGTACCTCCTAGGTTATGACCACACTTGGTATCCATACGAGAGATTGAAGACCCAATTCCCATCATTTCACCTTGAGGATAAGGTGAGCCTTTGGGATGGGGGTATTGTTAGACCGGCTCTTGGGAGTCGGCTGAACTGGTCCTTCTTGGACCGGTTCGGGTCTATTCCAGGCGGAATAGACCTGCCTGTGGGTGGGGGGTGGGGCAGCCCTCTTAATGGTGATATTATGGCTTTTAATTGAGAAGGATTTGAGAGGGAAAATTCAAATTCTAGGGGCTGTTTAGGGAATTGTTATTTTCGTTTGCTTTAAGTAGTATTTTCTGTTCTAGGATTAGGGTTATGATGTATTTTGTAGAATTTTGTGTTCTTGTAGTTTTGCCTGTGCAGTCTCCAACTAGAGATTGGGAGAGCATGATCTTCCTCTCCAATTGAAGATCCAATTGTATCTTGTTGTTTCCTTTCCTCTACTATTAATGAAAGTTTTCTCTCCGATATTTCTTTGATTTTCTCTCAAAAACGGTTTTGAAACTTGTTGGTTTTGCTGATTTCTGCAGTAAGGTTCGGTATTTTCTGTTATTTCCTATCACAATGCTGATAATTGCTGTCAGTAATAGTGGTTGCAATTTTATAAGGCAATCATAATGGTGATTGGTGCTAGAGGCATTCGATCTAACAATACAAGTTGAAGGTAAGGTGATAATAAGTTGAGTGTCTCTAGAGCTACAATTATGGATCGAGAATTGAGGAGAGCTCGATGGAATGACTAGGGTTAATGCGTGTATCTCAGTGGCTATTTAGTACAATTTTGAAAGTTAGCTGAGGTGAGCCATTATTCATAGTTCATGTAGATGTTATTGAAAAGCATATGATGTGAATCTCGGAAGGATATCATGAATCAATTTGTGATTTTTTCACAAATATCAAAATATGGATTGAACTTGTTAAACCATAAACCTAGTTCACCATTATACCAAGTTTGTTAAGGTTAATAT